AGCGATCCGCTGGGGTAACGATTTTCTGTTGTCCTGGGAGCCCTGAGGCTGGAAATGCCTGACTAGGAATTCGGGTTTAGTGCATCGTGTCCTGAGAGTGGTGCGTCTGGTGAACAGGGGGTGGCGTGAGGCATCACAGGATTTTGGAACGGCGTTTAGTATGAGCACCAACACCTACTTGTTTGGAGGTCCTTCTTAAGACCACGCAGAAAAGTCAGCTGTGGCATGTTAAGGCGGCTGAAGAGTCTTCCCGTCTGGGTTGGCTGCTTATGAGCAAACTTTGCTGCGTGATCAGGGAGGTTTGATTCTTTCCGAAGCAGCAGCCTGAGGTGCCGGAAGCGACGGCAACTGTGGTCCCAAATTGCCGCCAAGGTTACATCGATGTGACCGGAGGAAGCTTTTCATTCAGTATCGGACTATGTTGTGGTTCTACAATGCTCGGAACTGGCTTTTCCTTTGTATTTTGAACCAGCTTTTCAGCTCGCGCAAGCATCTTCGGATGAGCAGCGAAGGAAAAGCTTTCCCATGGACATGCGCTTTCTACTGTGAAGGTGGTCAGAATTTTGCCACTGCGAGCTGTCTCTGTGCCTGCCTCACCCAAGAGCAGATAGACCGGCTAGGGCTGATTCTTGGCTTTCCGGAGTAAAAACGTGTTCGTCGTTGGTCGTTGGGCCGGGTTCTCGTGGCAGAGCCACTGTCCAAATATCCGAAAAGGATCTCGGGGGTACACTAGTTGCAAGATCTTTCAAGGACCAGAAGTGAGAAACACTTGGTTGCATGTGTTGTGTAGCTAAGGTTTTTGGAGCCTGCTGTAGTTGGGTATCGGGTGGAGGAACCCTAAACCGCAGCACAGGAATGGCACGACGACTACACCTGGTACAGCAGCCGGTGGTGAAATCCTGATCACGCCGCCACCAGACACGGAGGGAACATGGTCCGACCCTGTGGAAGAGTCTTGGCCCCTAAACCCTTAACCCTCAACCCTGGGCAAAACATCGCAATGTCAACTCAACGGGCACGAGGTGTTCCAGGTGCTGTATTCTTTGGGACTGTGTAGGGGCTGCGGGTTTGGGGCTTAGCGCCAAGCCGGTGGAACCCAAAAGCAACAAAAACCCAAGGAAGTGCCCGTCGGCGAGCTGAACGAAGGTCGCAGCGAACCGTTTGCGCAAGGAGATCCGGGCCATGACTACCTTGACGAGAGTGCCAGCACGACGACGCTTCCGTGTACTTTAGGAACATGATTAATAAGTTTCTTTATACGAGTTCTTTTATTTTGGGGGGTTATAACCCGGGTTTCTTAGTCAGGTTCCTACATTACCACTGCTTCACAAGCCCATTTCCCGTTTATGTCTGAATCATGAACCCTTCTTCGAAGCGTAAACCCTTCCTGGCAACCTGGGAGGATCCAAAAAGTACTGCTGATGATATATAGATCCTGCATCACCTTAAGGACCCTAAACTATGGAAATTATGATATATTCCTTATTATGGGTAATGCAGGATTTCTACCATCAACCGTAGATCCCCAAACCGGGGTTCCTATAAAGTATCCTTTAGCAGTCTTTAGGGTCCGAGACTAGGAGCATCTGCTTTCTATAGATCCTCCCGACAGTCTGGAGACTCCCGACCTCTGATGAGCCCTGTGGATTTTGTTTTACTCAAACTATACAAACTAGAGGGGCATCCATACCGTGATTTGGGGTGTAGGCTTTAGGGTTTAAGTTTGTCGGGTTTATGGCTAGGACATATTCCTTATCTTGCTGGAGGCACTTCAGAGAGTCGTGGGTCAAAAAGGGCTAAGATATACTGCTGAGGTTGAGAGGTATTAAGATTTCAGGTCCATGTCCTTGTGCGAGGGGTCTTGGGAGTCTCTCGGATCCTAGAACCGCCGAACCCAAGTACAGCAATAAAAAACATCATCATCATCATCATCGTCATCATCATCACCATCATCATCATCCTCCTCCTCCTCATCATCATCAGCTTCTTGATCATTATCCTCATCATAATCACCATCATCATCGTCATCATCATAACCATCATCATCATAATCTTCATCTGCATCATCACCATCATCATCACCACTACCATCATCATCATCATGGTCAGAGTCATATTAATAGCAGTAGTAATGAATAATAAAAGTATTGTAATAACAATAACAATAACAAGAGAAAATCGTCATCATACGAATAGATAATACCCATACCCGTAGAACGCGTAGACCCCTAACCCTTAAACCCTATACCCTATGTGTAGTTTTTACCCTATTCCCATACCCTTAAAACTATTATAGTTATAAGGACCACAGAGCCACCTCCTCCGACGGAGCCACCGCCCTACACGGACTGGCAGAGCCTTGGATCTGCCGATAGCTTTTTTAGGATTTTGGCAGGGGGGGTCGGCATCGAAAGCTTTAGGGTTTTTTGGGGACCTTATAAGCCCCAAACCCTATAAATCTAAGCCCTAAGCCCTAAACAAACTCTACACCCTAAGCCCTAAACCCTTAGGTAAACTCTAAACCCTAAACCTCAAACCCTTGTGTAGGCTTTAGGCGAATGGCTTTGGGGTTCTTGGCAGGGTTTAGGGTGCAGGGCCTTGGGGCTTTAGGGTTCGGGCTTGAGGGGTTTTCAATCTTAGGGCTCAAGCAGCACCCGGCGGAGGGTACGACCCAAAAAACCTTAATCCCTAAGACCCTAAACCCGAAAGCCCTGAACCCGAAACCCTAAGACCCTAAAGCCCTAATCCCGAAAGCCTCAAACCCTAAAGCCCTAAACCCTAATCCCTAAACCCTAATCCCTAAACCCTAAACCCTAAAGCTCTAAGGCTTAACGTGGGGCCTTGGGGTTGGAGGTAGGGGTTTAGGGTTAAGTGATTTAAGCGTTCAGGGCCTTGGGGCTCGAGGGTTTTAGGCTTTAGGGGTTAGGGTTTAGGGTTTAGGGATTCGGGTTTAGGGTTTTTAGGGTTTTATGGCTTAGGGTTTTAGGGATTAGGGTTCAGGGCTTTGGGGTTACTCTTCGAGGGTTTTAAAGTGTCTGTGCGCTTCGGAGGCCCTTTGGCTTTAGGGATTTTAGGGCCTAGGGTTTAAGGATTAGGGATTGGGGTTTAGGGTTTAGGGTTTAGGGATTAGGGATTGGGGTTTAGGGATTAGGGTTTAGGGTTTCGGGTTTAGGTTAGGGGAGTAGGGCTGAGGGATTTGAGGGCTTAGGGACTTTCGTGTCGTAGGGTTTAGGGTTTAGGGTTTAGGGAGTTATGCAGAGAGGCCAAATACCCTTTAATTGAGCAGTATACCTTCGACTATAAGGGGCTTAATAGTATGATTGGGTGTGTATTCCTTAGTTAAGGTGTACTGGGCTCTCTGGGTAAGGTTTGGATTTTGGGGATGCGGTGTTCGGCTCAGGGTTTCGGGCTTGGGAGGCTGCTTGAGGCGCATTGAGGCGAGGTTCAATACGCGCGGTTGCGCACGCAATAGGGACAATTCTCGAAATTTAGGGTCCCCCACTTTAGGGTCCTTGTTATATGGGTGCCGTACTATTTTGGTGATCTAAACAGGGACCCTAATTTAGAACACTACTCGTATGGGGGCTTGAATAGTAGGTAATGTTCTGGCCTTACATTGGAGTCCAAGGATAGCTCGAGAGTTGCTTTCAGAGCTCCACCAAGAGTTGTTTAGAGTTTGGGGTTTAGGGCTTCGGGTTAGGCTTTAGGGCTTGGACTTTAGGGTTTAGGCTTTAGGGCTTGGGCTTTAGTAGGGTTTGGGGCAACGCCAGGACCATCTTGCTTGTCTTGACTGGCACGTTCCTGATCATGGTTGCTGTGGGGATGGTCATGGTCTTCGCACACCGCAACGGCTTCCTTGGTGCTATTCAGGCGGCTCAATGGCGTGTACAGCAAGAGGGGGCCTTTAACATGGTTTACAAGGGTTACCATAATGAGGGTGCGACAATAAGGGCTACTGTTTGTTGTTTATACATCCCGTTGTTTGAGGAACAGACATGGCCTAGAAGAAGGTTTCTTTTCCACCACTGCTGCAAGGGAGAGTTACCGAGACCCTCCTAACAGACCCTCCTGTCCGAAGTCCTCAGCCAAATATTCCTTCTTTAGGGGTCATTAGTTCACTAAACTAGAGTCCCTTTGTAGGTCCCCAAAACAGTACACCCTTATAGAAAGGACTTTACAAGGGACCCCAATTTAGAGAACTGCCCGTAGGGTTTAGCATCTAGGCTTAGGGTTTAGGTTTAGCCTTTTCAGCGCTAGAGGGGCTATATTCCGTGTTCATTCTAGTACAGTATACACCAGGCCCTGTTCGCATAACCCCGACATGTCCCGATATTTGTAGTTCGAGTGGAGCACCCCCCAAGCCCGGGTGTAATGATCTTTGGCGCAGCGTCTTGAATGAAAAGCATCTGACAACTCGATATCCGCCCCCTTTGTTCAACCCATAGAATGATCAGCAAGCCCTTGGAAAGCCCTTACAAGGACCCCTAAAGCAGATAACCCTGGACCCTTATATCTGCACAGCCCTTGCAAGGACGCCAAAACAGGCTGCGGCAGAGACCCTCCCAGCAGCCCTAGGGCCCTAGGTGTTAGCCTTGGTCCCGGGAGAAGGCCTTTCGTTCCAGGATTGAGTGCTTCTGCGTAGGGTTTAGGCAACCCTAAACCCTAAACTCCTAAACCCTGAAAACGGTTCGGGGTTCAGGGTTTAGGGCTTAGGGCTTACGGGGTTTGCTTATCCTCGCCGGAGTGGTTCAGCGTTTATGATAGGATGGTAGGTGCGGCGCGCCTTTCTTTGGTAGGTTGCGGGTGTCACATTTCCATATTTCTGCTTCTACTTCGAACCCTTTTGCGCTTGAGCTTAAACGTCAAAGCCTCGCTACACACTCGGAGCCTTTTCTGCACCTAAACCCCAGCTGAAGGCCTCTAACAAGCTGTCACAGAAAGGAAATGAAAGCCTAGTCCAGGTTCACCCTAAATGCCAGCAGGTGGTAAAGACCAACAAGCTGGACACGCCCTGCCATGAGACGAGCGAGACAAACGAGACGAACCACCATCATGTGGACAAAAGGCTCAGTCCTGACACCTGACGTTGTCTAAGGTTTTGGGTGTTGGGTTCTGTTACGGTTAACCCCCAAACCCTAAAGTCTAATCCCGAAACCCTAAACTCTAAACTTTATGCTGCCCTGACTGGTTGGCGCTTGATCTGTTACGGTTTGGGACTGTAGGCTTAGAGGATCGAGGTGTAGGGTTTCTGACGCTTGGGCTTTGCCTCGGCTGGTGATTTGCCTGGGGTTTCGAGCATAACTATGCTGGTGCAGCCTCTTACAATAGAACTCTGAACTAAACTTTAAACCCTTCGCAGCCCTCTGAAGAGTTCTCCGAGCAGCTGCAGCTTGCAGCGGCCCAATCAACATCAGGATTTCGGATCCCCTGACCCTCCGGGTTTTTTAGAGGGCGTAGGGTTTACGCTTTTATTTTAGGGACAGTAGGGTTTTTGGGTTTGGACTGGAGGGTTTAGGGCCTTAACAGGGAGACGAGAGTTTGCATGTGAATCACCCAGAGAGCCCAATACTTCTTACCTCAGGAATATACCTTAAATCATAAGATCCAGCCCCTTCTTAGTTTAAGGTCGATTATGAATGAATTAAGGGGTATTGGGCTCTATGGGTACTTCCGGTAATGACCACATGGTCTTAGGGTTTTGGACAGATACATTATTGATGATAAACCCAATGATGCATGCTTGCAAGGCTTTTCTCTTTATTCCTAGGTCCTAGGTAGTATTAGGAAGACCTCTTAAAGGGGACCCTTCTTGACCCTATTTTTGGCTCCCTTAAACAGGGGCCTGGTTGAGAGGGTCTACGCCAAGGGTGCCCCTAATCCTAACTCCTTTCTATGGGCTTTTAGGGTTTCGGATGCAGCTTCTTCGGGCTGACAGAAGCAGGTCAGGGACTCCTGTGTCATCAAGCCCCGAAACTTGCAGAACCCAGGATCCCTGATCTTGAAACTGCCCGTTTAAAAGCCAAGCCCTAGGCTCCCGAACTCCTGCCCCAGCCCCTAAGCCTCCAATCTCCGCACCATGGACCTCATCTGGCTGAGTCCGAGCCCCCAAGCAGTAAACCCTTCACAAGGGCTTTCGCAGAGACTGCAACGCCCCTCAATTAAGGAAGAGACCTTATTAAATCACAATACTAATTATAGGCGGAGTTGAAGGCATGTTGCTTAAGTCAGGGGTATTGGGCTCTCTGGGTTAGGGCCGTTCAAGCTGATGGGTTTAGGCTTGATTTTCAGAGCCGAGGTAATCCCTAAACAGCCTAAACACCCTAAAACCCTAAACCCTAAACCCTTGAACCCTGAAGCCCTAAATCCTAAAACCCTGAAGCCTAAACACCCTAAACACCCTAAACCGAGGACAAACTCTCATGTCTTCGAAGAGACAGTCTACTCTCGGTCTCTTGCTCTCTCTCGGCTTCGGGGCTTTTGGTCGGTTTTTTTTTGGGTCCAGGGCCCCCTAAGCCCTAAACCCTAAACCCTAAACCCTAAAACCCTAAACCCTAAAACCCTAAAGCCCTAAACCCTTAACCCTACCCCCAAACCCTAAACCCTTAACCCTACACCCCCAAAGCCCTAAACCGTTCAAGGCCTTCCCTTTCTGAGGGTTGTTAGGTGGTACAGGGAATCCCGACTCGTAGGGTTTATAGGGTTTAGGGCATCCCTGAACCCGAAATTCAAGACTCCTGGAAGACTCTTTAAACTACACACTTGAATCTCTGGAGGCCTCCAGCCGCAAACCCTGAACCCTAACCCCGGAACCCGGGTTTAGGGTTTAGGGTTGGGAGGGAAAAAACCCCGGAACCCTGAATGGAAGACTGTGCCAGACAAAGGTTCGACGAGGTCTTCAGCTTTACAGCGAACCTCAGAGCATGGATGAAGGCTGAGTAGTGGTAAGCTCCCCCGAGTCTGTCCTTAGCCACTTCAGGGGGTGCCAGGATGAGGATGTTCCAACTTGGTGGCCTAAACCGAAAACTCCTAAACCTGAAACCTGGTAGGCAAGTAAAGCAGCGCTTTAAACCGGCATTCCTGAAAGCATTGCTGAACTTTGCGTGCCCTTCTCCTCTCTGTAACTCGGAAAATCGGTGTTCAGCTTTCGGAGGCTTCATGTTCGGCTTTATGGTTGTAGGTTCTGGGACGCCGTGAGTTGAAATCTGAAAGCGAATTAGGCGTAGGCTGCTCTTGGGACATTCAACAGAACCGGATCCAGGCAAGCAAGAGAAGCCACGGGTTTAGGGTTTTGGGATCCTGAGGACACCTGCCCGATGTCAGCGAAAGCCATGGTGGCTATGGACCACCTTGAGAAGCTCCGAAGTTCTGGGGATGCAACCGCCAAGCACGCGGCGAACTTCCATCTCGACTCCCTGAACATTGCGCGAACCAGGCGGGCCGGAGAACTCATGGCCAACGAATGCTCAAGACGGCTAGATCTGAGCAGCTAGTATCCTTCTCGTTTGTCGGACATGGTTATATAAGGCCACCATAGCAATCCTAAAAGCCTGCACCCTTCTGGCGGCGACCATAACCGCAAGACTGTCAGGCTAACCTTTTAACTTTTGAGCATACCTGTGTGGAGAGTTTCGGCGATGCAATGCGGAGAAACTTGATCCCGGCCCTGGGAGTGCCCTAGGGCGTCATACGGTTTTATCAGCCTTCATCAGGGCGTTTAAAATTTCTTCATAAGGGATAAGGCGATGTTGCTATACTAGGGTTGTCTTGCTGTATCCTCCCTAACCCTACGTTTTTTCTAAGTCTAAGCTGTGCAAGATCGCTTCAAGCATCATCTTGCCATAGAGCCGATATGGACCTTCTCAGAACTCGTGATAAAGACGTTGTGTTTGCAAATGGGGGGAGCTGCGCCCAAACCCCCGCTTTCGCTGCGCAGGCGTCAAGCATGTACCTCTTATAGTTCGAAAGTTTGACAATCCATCATACAGGCATTCTGTTTGCAAATGGGGCGGAGCTACGCCTATCAATACTGGCAACTATGCTAGTTTATAAAGGAGGGAAACGGGTGGCTTTCCTATTCAAATGTATGAAAGTACACGTTTAAGAAGCACCCAAAAAATAGAAACAGACGTAATCAATTCTGCACCCCAATTCTTTGCTAATCGGCATTCCCGATTAGCTTTTGGCATAATTCCCCAAAAGGCTTGATGCGAAACCACGCTGTGCAAATTGTAATTCCCAATGGCTTGTAACAAAACGAGCCCTGCACGTTGCAACTCCTGCAAGGGAAGACGCCACAGGTGGGCCTTCCCCAATAGCTTGCTGCAAATAAAACTCAGCCGACTCCTCGGCCAAACCTTTTAAAACACCTCTTAGCCAAACTTCTAAAAAAAGCCATCCGCCCCGAAGACGTGGGGCTGGAACCTCAAACTAGGTAGGGATAAGGGTGCCCAAGGTAGGGATAATCTTAGCGAGTTCTCAAAATATTGCTAACGACTATCTTCCATTGACACCAGCCAAATACTCAAGCTACATCAGCTAGATGGGGACTCTTCGTGACGATTTGTCTCTCACCGCATATGGTGTCACATCCCTAAAGCCTGGACCACCTCATGGGTCAGTAGGTCCGACGACACCGGGGGGTCGGACAACGCCCAGAGGCGTGCTGTGGCAGGATCCTCAGTATTGCCTGTCGTCGTTGGCGTTGTGGTTGTGGTTGTGGTTGTGGTTGTGGTTGTTGTTGTTGGTGTTGGTGTTGGTGTTGGTCTTGGTCTTGGTCTTGGTCTTGGTGTTGGTCTTGGTGTTGGGGGTGGGTGGTGGGGGTGGTGGTGGTGGTGGTGGTGGTGGTGGTGGTGGTGCATTGCAACACGATGGGGCAAACAAAGTTTTCCTAAGACACACACACACACACTGAAAGCTCGGTGTTTCCACGCTTTTGACCCAAAAAACTTTAAAGAACGAACGACACACCCTTCGCGGCGGCAAACGCTCCACTTGCCTTCTTGTTGTTGTTGTTGTTGCTGTTGCTGTTGCTGTTGCTGTTGCTGTTGCTGTTGCTGCTGCTGCTGCTGCTGCCGTTGTTGTGATCGTTGTTGTTGTTGTTCTTCTTCTTCTTCTGGTTCTGATTCTGGTTCTTGTTATTGTTATTCTTCTTGTTGTTGCTGCTGCTGCTGGTG